CACTAGTGTGCCACGGCACAGTGGTTGAAAAACACTGGAATAGAGCATGTGGGAGGGAAGAAAGGAATAGAATAGAATAAATAGAATAGAATTCTTTATTGGCCAAGTGTGATTGGACCCACAAGGAATTTATCTTTGGTACATAAAAGTGTACATAAAAAGACAAGATACACGAGGAAGGGAAGAAAGGAAGGAAGGAAGGAATAGAGCATGAGAGAGGGAAGAAAGGAATAGAATAGGATAGGATAGAGAACAGAATAGAATTCTTTATTGGCCAATTGTGATTGGACACACAAGGAATTTGTCTTTGGTGCAGAAGATGCTCTCCGTGTACATAAAAAGACATGAAAAGATGCATAAATTCCGGGCTCCATTGTCGTCGCAACTCCTGTAAGGTAAGGAGTATGGCTGTCGGAGAAATATACTGCCTCCCTCTGTTTACGTGGCAAAATGCTCTCCTCAAACCTGCTGGGTCACAACCGCCATCATGAGCCAACAAAGGCAAAAAGGCTCAGTGGCATAATGACAGAGGAAAAGGCAGGAAGGAAGGAAGGAATAGAGCATGAGGGAGGGAAGAAAGGAATAGATTAGAATAGAGAACAGAACAGAATATAATTCTTTATTGGCCAAATGTGATTGGGTACACAAGGAATTTGTCTTTGGTGCAGAAGATGCTCTCAGTGTGCATAAAAAGACAAGATACACGAGGAAGGGAAAAAGGCAGGCAGGCAGGCAGGAAGGATATAATGACAGAGGACAGCAAAGTTAAAAAGCAACCTTTGCAAAAGAGGCGCTAATAATTAAAAGGGTTATTTTGGCCCAAGACTTCCTGGGGTGGGGGGGTTATTTACATAGTGTGCTTCCTACAAACAGAATATCTAGAATAACGAACGTGGGGAGGGCAAAGGGCAACGGCTGCTGTATCATGCAAACGAACTCCACAGTGCCAGCCTTACAGCCCTCTGCTTTGTTTGGCAAAGTGGGATTCCAGACTGCCGGTCACTTACTAATATGGGCATGGCACGGTGGAACCCCGATCCAATTTTAATTCCGCTGAAAGACAAGTTCCCGTCCCTTCTCCCCCGCCCATGCAAAGTGATTTATTCAGAAACGGAGAAAAGTATAAGGCGGTTGAGTGACAGGCAAATAGGTGGGAAAGGAAAATAATGCAAGGCCAAGGAGAATTCTAAGCACTCGGATGTCTTGGGTGTTTTAAGAAATCCAAGGCGAAATATATTTTATATACATATATGGAAATTTTATTCCCCCCCCCCTTCCCCAAGGCACAATCCACATCCTCTGGGACATGAAATTCAATGCAACTGGAAGATTGCAAAAAATAAGCATAAAGTTTATTGCATTTAAAATGGTATCACCATGTCTGCTATTAGAAAAATGAGCTGGCTATTCGGGTTTCAGATTTTTCCATCTCAAGACCTTTAAAAAAAAAATGGGCACTACGTATTTTTCTCCTATTATTATTATTA